CTATGCGCTGTAAGCGGTCCGTGAGAAGAAGGTGAGTATGGAGATTTGAGTGTTTCTTTGTTCTTATTGGTGATTTGTGTCGTTCATCATCTATGGGTTATAAATTAGTCTTAAATCCCTATTATTTTGGTAGGAGGTTCTACAATGAACTTGTTCTTATTCGTCTCGATGGACATTTGAGTGTTCCTTTTGTTTTCATTTGACTGCAAATATTAATTCAGTTTTACATCACTCAAAATGTGATGATCCTGTTGTCCTTTGATATTTTCGATGATGCATGAGTAATTGATAGTGGATGGATGATATGTCAAAGAGATTGTTAAGATTGTTAATGTTCAATCATTTACCTTATGTGGATTATGATTCTTGGCCTTGACCTTCATCTGATTTCGTATTGTTCTGAATCTGGTAACTGAGCTTTGAAGAGGAAAATGGAAGAGCTAATGGTTGTGGGTCATGGTGAGGAAAGTGAAGATGGAGAAGCTGAAGAGGATGCAGGGAATGAAGAAGCAAAGCCTGATGCTTCAACCTCTGGTAATTTTCATAGTCGTAATTGTTTTCAATATGGAGTTTCCTATCATTGAGGTTAAAAAAACGAGCATATTGCTCTAATTTTAAGTTGTATCACTTTTTTTGATATTCATCTTCCTCTCAGAACAAAATAATCAATTTATTTAATTTAATCAATTTACATCTTCGCTGATTCTTCATACTTTTGTTTCCAAACAGCGTCCATTTCTTTGAGTCCTTATCGAGATGCGTGGTTAAGCAGGTCATTTCTTTGTTCATGTTCTTTGACTTGTCTTTGTTGATTTGCATGTCTGCTTTGTTGTTTAGATTGAATGTGTAGAGATCCCTATAGGTTTTTAGTAACTTAGTCAAGGTAACATGTAGATTGCATAAGAGTTAGATCTCACTATTCTCAAGTGATGCAAAACTCGACTGAAAAGAATTTGAAAACCAACTACAAGTTAGCAGTGTTTGCCATCAAATGTTGTGTTGATATTGTTTAGAATTAGATAATCCTTTATTCTTCACATTTTATTGTCAAACAATATGAAGGGAACAATAAACATCATCCACTTTTCCAGATTTACATGCAACTCCCTTTATACTTGTCATGATTGCCATTTTTTTTTCCAGGTTGTGCACACTAAATGCTTTGCCTTTGCTTCTCCAAAAGGATCTTCTCAAGCAAAAACAAAAGGATGTGCTGCATCTTGACGTGGTATGTTCAAATTGTTTAGTGACACTTGATTTTTATACTTTTTGCTTGAAAGTTCATATGTGGTTGACTATTAGCTGTTTGTTTAAATTTTCAGGAGAACTATAGTTACCACTGATTTTGATTTTATGATAAAGCAACTCTCTTTATCTTTTAGCAACTCTTTCATGTTTTAATAATGCGTTGCTTATATAAAGTTTATGAAAACTGATGTGGAATTCTTTTGTATTAGTTTGTTTTGGTATTTTGTTTACATTGTTGTTTCAGTGGTGTTCTATTTGAGGGATTTAACAAACCATGGAACCGAACAAAGAAGATAATTCTCCATTGGTACCATTCATAACATAAAAAGCAGATTCTTATAAATTATAACATTTTGATTTTGTTGATGGTGTCTCTTTGGGAATTTTGCAGACTTGAGGTTTTTGATCACTCAAGAGTTTGATAAGTTGGTAGAGAAAGGAACAGCACCAGCCATAGCAGCACCAAACTTGAAGATTTTTGATCACTCAAGATTTAGGATACAAAGTTTTTATTTAAGTTTTGGTTTGGATTAGTCTTTGTAAGACTTGTTACGTTTTGTATGGAGATTTTATATATATTGAATTTTTGAAAAAAGAATAAGTTTCTTGTAAATGTGTAACAAAATGTGCCAAACCAATAGGTCGTATATAGAAATGTACATTGTGTATAGCGTAATGGTTTACAGCAAAAAAAAAGCTACAACAAACTAGATAATAATTATAAAATAGAGCTACTAAAAAATATAGTGTAACGCATATAAAGAGCTACAAAACGAATAAAAATAGCATTAAAATGTGTTATAATCATCACAATTAGAGCACCAATTATACGCTATGAAATGACAACA